CCCCCCCCTTCCAGAGCTGAAGTCGTAATAAATGGCTCCTCGTCACCAGCTGTTGTTGACAGAAGTAATGACAGCATCAAGCACAACATCCAGCCAGCCTCGGCCAAGTGGAGGCACAACCAGACGCTCTCCCTGAGGATCAGGTAGTGGTAATTACCTCTAGGACGAGAGACGGGCTTGGCCTTCCCCAGCACAAGCCCGCAAACTGCCGCTCTCTATCATCTAAGCAAGGCAGGATAGAAATACAATGCCTACCACCCACCGAGACAGGTTTCCTCAGGAAGCAGTCAATTGGAAATAAAAGCCCACGGCAGGCCCAGCGGCCCAGCATGTGTGTGCAGGGACTGGGCCGGGGAGGTGGGCAGGAGCGCCCTGCTGAGGTCCTGGGGTCGGAAGCAGTGAGGCTCTCAGCTCAGAAGCAGCGAGAGCCTGTGGGGTGGAGGCCACAGGTGGCATCTCTCAGAGGACCAGGGAAGTTAGGAGAGGTTCCCTGCTTGGGCCTGCTTGGCATCTGTGTCTCCTTTCTGTGGTGTCAGCCCCCCCCCCTCCCCATTTGGAGAGTCTTTGGAGAGTTGCTCCCCTACCCCCAGTCCTTACAGCTTGAGTAGGCTGCCCTTCCCTGACAACCTGAAAATTAAGAGCCATAGCTGGGCATCCGGTGGCCCAGGAGCTGGCATGACACCTGATGATGGCAAAGGGAGAGCTCTCAGCTATTGTTGGCTGGCTGGAATGGGGAACTGCGGAGTAAGAATTTCAACTTTGGCACTTGGGCCAGTTTCCTTTGATAGAGCTGTCACTGACCCAGCAAAGGCTGTTCGGTATCATCCAACCATTCATTTCTAGGCATGGGGCTGGGACCCCCGGTGCAGACATGAATCAGGTGTGTCACAATATAAGCAAAGAGAGGCCAGTGCAGTGGGATATACACACTAGGCAGTACTGCATCTTAGAAATGAGTGGGGATAAAGTGATCAACTGAGGAGAGTACTTCGCTTTGTAAGGGGACCACGAGGGCTGGCCAGGAAAGGAGCAATGGGTGTTGAAGGATGATTAGGAGATCTCCAGGCTTACCGAGCTACGTGCTACTTGCACGCAGCCTGAAATTTGCTGTTTGTGGTCAGTGCTGCTGGAGCACGAAGCAAGAGGTAGGGAACAAGGGTGATTAAGTTGGTGCGGTAGCCAGGACAGATGGGGAGAGGCTTGGTTATTGCAGCCCGTATTCCCAGGCCATCACCATGGAGAGGCAGCAGAGAACGGGGGCCAAGGGCACAGTGACCAACCTTGACCACAGCTACCAAAAGTGTCACCACACAGAGCTGGGAGGTGTCCCTTCCAGGTAGGCTCATGATGAAAATGGAAATGCTCCCACCCCCTAGTTCTCTAGGCTTATTTTGGGGACATGAGCGGGTGTGGGGGACAGAAAGGGAGGAGATCCCCAGATCTGGCAGCTGAGACCATCTGAACAAACTGTCACCACCATTCTGCCACCTCTCACTTAGTGCCTCTTCTGAGGCCCCCTTGGTGGACCCTCCACCCTGGTCATGCTGCCCTAACAGCTGCAGGTCAACATGACTGACCCTTGGATCAGTGTCACTGTGGAATCAGTGAGAATACCTGCCAGAGTTTCCTGGGGCTGCCCTAACAACTCCCCACCAGCTTAGTGGCTTAAACAACAAATGTGTTCTCTCTCAGTTCTGGGGACCAGATTTCTAAGCACTCCCTCTGAAGGCTCTAGGGGGAATCCTTCCTTGTCCCTTCCAGCTTCAGGGGGCTCTGGATAGCCTTGCCTTGTGGCCGTATCACTCCAGTCTCTGCCTCTGCGGTCACATGGCCTTCTCCTCCATGTCTGTATATTCCCCTTTCCTGTCTCTTATAAAGTCCTTGTAAGAATTGGGGCCCACCCAGGTAATACAGGATGATCTCGCCTCAAGACCCTTAATTGAATAACACCTGCAAAGATGCTTTTTCCAAATAAAGCCACATCACGGGTTCCAAGGGTTAGGAGGTATACATATATATATCTTCTTGGGGGGTGGGGGGGCACTATGCATCCCTCTACACCAGCTGTGAATAAAATCCTCCACCAGCCTACATGCAGTCCCTACTGCCCTTTCTCCTGCCATTGGTTGGAGAAATGGACACACACACCCCTCTTTCAGAAGAGACCAGACTGTGGCTTTTGTGGGACACCTGCGAATACACAGCCACCTGGGCATCAGTCAGGGGGTGGAAAGCATTCCCTTCAACTTCTTTCAGTGAACCACCTAAAGTATTCATAATAAAAGATTCTGCAAATGATTTGGAGTGATGTTTAATAACTGACAGCAATTCTTCATCGTTAGTTAGAAGTTAATCCACACACAGAGGTGTTTATTGATGGTCTTTCTGGGGGCTCTCTTTGCTTTTAAATACTTTGGGGTGAGTCACTGCAAAGGTTTTAGCAATGGCCAAACTCTGTTAGCTTGTCAGATTATATAATACTTGGTAAAGTGCAGCAATTAAATGCCTCTGTTTTCCATCAGAGGCAACACAGGGCTTCCCCAACATGATAGCAGGGGATCCAGGTTATTGATAAGACGGATGGGAGAAGAGTATGGTGCCCTGCCGAGCCTTCTAATAGCTGCCCCTCATCTACACCAGAGGCTCCCAAACCTGGACACCCGTTAGTGTCACCGGTGGGGCTTCTGAAAATGTGCTGAAAAACCCTGGCCCGCTCTCAAGAGTCAGGGTTTCTCAGAGTTAGCCTGGAAATTCTGAATTCTTTTAATATGGCTCCTACTAAGCTACACCACAGACTGTGACCATCTCAAATCCCACCGGCACTCAGCAGCAGTGTTACCATCTGTACAATGGAGCAACTGGATTGCAAATTCTCTCATTTGCAAAGTGTGTGAAGATGCTCCTGTCCCTCTCGGGCTCTCCAGAAAGGCAGACTGGCGTCATCAGATCTGTTTTAGATGGGGGCTCACTGCAGAAAATGAAATTCATTTCAGCTGACCTGGATACCAAATTTCTTTCTCCCTCTGACTTGAATTACTTCTGAAGATCTTGTGGTTGACTTAGAAAGTTCTTTAAGTAAAAACCCCCAGCTAGGATCTTCAGATTCCTGGGGGCCAGGCCTGTGTGGCGTGAGTACAACTCCCCTGTTGACTGCTAAGGACTATAGGAATGGGACTATCCCCCATCCCCTCTGTGTGCTTTGCTAGATGGTTCTAGAACATTCCCCCTAAGTCAAAGTCACTCTAGAGCCTAAAGAGCTGCCTTTTGACCTATGTTTTGAAACAACACAAAGGAACCAGGCTCTGTGGGGCCAGAGAGACATCACTATTTACAAACCCCAAAGCAGACAGCGATTAGGGGGCCGGGAGAACACATTCCACAAAACAGACCAGCTCAGGGACTCGGTCTCTCAAAGGTAGAGTGGTTGACACACCTCACGGTACCCGCACTCTCATTCACCCCGTGAGGCCCCTGTGCCCAGAGGCGGCGTCCATGGAAGAAAACAGACCAGTGAGGAATGAGGAGCACGTGTCATCCTGGTTTCCTGTTCCTAGTTCAGGACTCCCCGTCAGATGATGGCTCTGAATCCCGCTAAGAGAGGGGAGAGTGATGGAGGGTGACCACTGTCTGGGTTTGCCCAAGACGGAGGGGTTTCCTGGGAGATGCTAAAACCAGGTGGTCCTGAGAAACCCAGGATGGTGAGTCACCCTGCCTTCCAGGGCCCTCTGTGACGAGCCCACTTCCTGTCCTAATGAAGTCATTACCCAGGGCAGTTTACATATCCCAGAGGAAGAAGGCAACCAGACTGGCCACCACCATAGTTGCCTGGTGGCCATTTCTGACAGTCCCTGCCTGGAACCTCGGATGGCATCTGAACACTTAGCTCCAGTTACGTGCTGGCCTCCGGCAGCCCTGCAGGGGGACCTATGACAGGAAAAGCTGGGTTGGCAAAGGGCAGCTGGCAACAGGCAGACTTATCCTCATGTGTGTTTGGTTTTTGTAGGAAACAAATCTTGAAGTTCTTGGATGCCGAGAAGGACATTTCGGTCCTCAAGGGGACCCTGAAGCCTGGAGACATTATTCATTACATCTTCGACCGAGACAGCACAATGAACGTCTCCCAGAACCTCTACGAGCTCCTCCCTAGGACCTCCCCACTGAAGAACAAGCACTTCCGGACTTGCGCCATCGTGGGCAATTCAGGGGTCTTGCTGAACAGCGGCTGTGGGCAGGAAATCGACACGCACAGCTTTGTCATAAGGTAACCACAGCAGGGACTCTGGGTCCGAGGCAGCAGGCAGAGTTAAGTTGAGCATTGCCAGTTGTCCCAATGAAACAAGACATACTGGTTGGGTTAGTCCCCATTTTCAACCTTCACAGCACATTAGAATCACCTGGGGAGCTTCTAAAAGTCCCAGTGTCCAGAGTGCAACCCAGATTAATCAAATCAATCTGAGGGTTAGGGGGCATGTGACCCAGGGAGCCAGGTCATTCTGGTGCATAGCTCAGGTTGAGAATTGCTAGTCTGGTGCACAGGTGGATAGACTATAGCCCACAGCCTGTTTTTGTCAATAAAGTTTTACTGGCACACAGCCACACCCATTCATTTTCATATAATCAGTGACTGCTTTGTGACTACCATGTCGAGTTGAGTAGTTGGGCAGAGTAGAAGAGTTGCCACAGAGCCTAAGTAGTCCACACAGCCTAAAATATTTATTATCTGACCCTTTACAGAAAAAGTTCACCGACCCCTAGATAAAGCCTGCTATGAGAAAAGGTTAGTAAGAAAATCTCCTGGGCTGGCCAGAGAGTTTACAAAACTCTTTTAAGTGTTCTGGAAGGTTATACTCTACTAGTAACTTTATATCCCGGAGTCAAAATCTGGGAAGTGAGAGCGCAACAGAGAAACTTGGGGTTTGTGTGTGACTCTCCTTCTCGCTGAAATATCATCTCATTTTTCAGTCCCCCGGGACACACTTGGACGCAGTTACCCAGGGGCCTGACACCTGACCCCCCCCCCCGAACCCAGACAGACGCAGAAACAAGGCCTTGCTGTCCCCTTGTCAAAAGTAGGGCATACAGAGCCTCGAGTTTCATCCCCAACAGCGTCCCAGCCCCGGCAGAACCGAACACCGCATCTCACGTTTCTGCTGGGACTGTGTGATGCAAAGAGAGTCTTGTCCTGGGGCTTTGGGAAGTGGCCTTATCCTAGAGCTCCCTGAACCTCAGGACGTGGGACTAAACAGTGTGTTTACTCCTATGTCACTGCAATGAACGAGCCACTGCAGCCTGGCAGCCACACTTGTTTTAGTTTTGTCATCTTATGCCAGGGTCTGTCTGTGCCTGGCCTAGCCAGTGACTCAGCTCCCGTTTCCCAAAGCCCTTCAGTCTAAGGATTGGGGGACAGAGGGGGGTGGGGTAGAAGGTGCGGCAGGTTTGTCTAATTGGAATCCAGAGAAGGGCTGAGGGTGGGGTGGGGTGCGCATGAAAGGTTAAAGGTTAGGAAGGAAGGTAAAAGCCACCTCGAGATGGGGTCAGATCACCTCCCGGGGTGCCAGGCAGCCATCGAGGGGTGGCCCTTCTGACCTGGTGTCATACACATAATCAGCAAGCTTTCCATGGTCTATCTGGTCCTGCTCCAGGAATTTCCATAGTCAACAGCAGATTCTGGCTGACACTTTCCTTTTTGGACACTTAACACAGCAAGGCAAGCAGCGTGGTGTCCAGAGTCTACTCTTGGCTCTGGGGCCTATTGCCATGTGACTTGGCATGTGTCACTCCCCTTTCTGGGCCTCGATTTCATCATCTGTAAAATCGGCGGGTTGGACTGGCTGTCTTTGAGGCCCTTCCGCTGTGTATACTATCTGTGCTCTAGCCCAGTGCCTCAAAAACTTTAATGAGCATATAAACTACCAGAGTTTATTAAAATACAGAGTCTTCAGGTCTGGAGTGGGGCCTGAGACCCTGCATGTCTAAGGCCCTGGCTGCTGGTGTGGGAAGCCTACTTTGAGAGGCGTGGCCACAGCATATTTTGCCTCTCTGCAGGGGTCATGTCCACATACTTAGAAAAGAAGGACCTGACATGCCAAGAGAGAGTTCCTCAGAACAATGTGCAATTGCCCTTGGGCCTTGAGGTCTGGCCCTCCCAGACCTACATACCTGTAGAGTTGACTTGAGTGGGGTTTTAGGATAATATTCCATGGCCCTACTGTGTGCAGACCTCACGTTTCATGCTAACTGACAGCCCTGGCTCCTCTGCCCCACCGGGCCCACTTTTCTGGGGTCCTCCTAACTGAGGGATCATCCAAGCCCTCCAACTGGGGGGGGGGCGTTCCTAGAGACAAAAACTTCAGAGAGTAAATTGAGCATGATGCTGTGAGCGCTGCATGAGATGGAATGCATGGGTGTGCTCGGGACAGTGTCTCTACAACAGGGCACATGAAGTGTTTGTTCCCTTCCCTGTCCTTCCCGAGGGTGTATGGAGGTCACCCCACAATTTGGCACCACCTCTCCTGTACCATTTGCCTTTCTGTAGTTCTCTGTGGACCCCATGTCCCCACTCTACCCACCTCACCCTTGCAAAGCAAAGTGGTTGTGTCCACCTCCGGACTCCAGTCCACGCGGGGCCCGGCACACAGGGGCAGCTCTGAAAGGCTCTGCTGGGATAACAGAGCCCAGAAAGGTCCTGATAGGATGTTCCCAGTCTCGGTCAATCCAAGCCTTCACTGAGCTCGCCTCACTCTGTGTTTACTGGGCCCCTTCTCTGTGTGGGAGACACGTAATATCTCACCCCCATCTCAGAAAACTGCATGTGAATCGTCGTAGGACATACTGTGTGCAAAACGCAATGAGCTTGCAAAAGACACGCAGCCCCCGGGGGAGTTCAGGGAGGGCTTCAGGGAGAAGCGCCATTCGAGTAAGCTGACTTTGGCAATGACGTGATGAGAAGGACAGAGCATGAGGAGGGTGTGGAAGCAAGAAGGTAGATTCATGGATCGTGGAGGTCACTTCATGGATCATGGAGGTCACTGCTTGGCTACATATATAAGGTGCTGCTGGGAAGTGAGGCCGGACAGTATGTCTACTCCCCACAGGGTCCCCCCATGAGCCTGCAACGCCAAGTTGAGGAGACTGCCTAACTCAGGGTCATATATGTGCAGAGTCAATTCCCAGATGTTTGGGGATTAAAACTTCATTAGGCGCACGCGTGCGCGCGCACACGCACACACACACACACACACACACACACCTTTCATAGGGTCAATCCTATGAACAAATGCCCTTTCACAGACAAATCACCATCTTTGCTTCACAGGACTAGGCACTTAGCATGTACCAGGTGCAAATCCACACGCGTCATGTTTGTTAACTCACTTCATTCTCACTACAACCCTATCAGGAATGTATAATTTTGTCCCGGCTTTTGTAATGAGGAAACTGAGGTACAAAGAGTTAGAGGTGGCAAGTCCAGTTCGGGCCAGGGTCAGGCCATGGGTGCAAGCTGCCTCTCCTCACCGACAGGCTTGCGCTTCGATATCTACTTCCATCTCTGCCGATACATACCACAACTTCATCTTATTGTTGCCCAACATGCAGATCTGCTCATGTCACTGTCCTGCTCAAGGACCTCCAGTGGCTCCCTACTGCCTTTGGAGCCACATCACTGACACACAGGCCCTTTGACACTCACCCTGCTTGCCTCTCCTGCCCATCGCCTCCACACATAGGCTCCAGTCAGACCAAATCACTTGCCTTCCCCTGAACACCTACAGTGTCTCCCACCTCTGTGCATGTTTCTTGTGCCTCAAACACTACAGTATGATGCTTCCTAAACTGCCTGGTTACAAGACTTACCTCAAGAACTTGTAAAAACAAATATCAGTTCCTAGGCCCATCTGTTGAATCTCTAGGTGACAGGCCTGGAGAATCTGTATTTTTGACAAGGGCCTGAAGTGATTCTTCTGATCTGACAAGCTGGAGACATGCTATCCTCATGTGCCTTTTCCACAAATGGATTTCTGCTCACCCATCCTTCTAGACTTCACTCACCACCTCCAGGAAGACCACCTGATGCTTCTCCTCCCCATAATAATGATGACTGTAGTAACATTTATTGAGCCCTAACTGTGCTCCAGCAGTGTTCGGGACTGGATGTGTAGTCACCCCCTTTAATTTCTGGGAGGGGTGCTGTTGTGATCTCCGTCAAAGCTAAAGACACTGTTGTAGATATCCCGTAGCCATGGGGAAGCTCTTGGGAAGGACAGAGACGTTGCCAAGAATCACACAGACAGAAAGTATCGGGGATGAATCTGAACCTAGGGGTGTGCCGTCAGAGCCCTCACGCTGTCACCTAATGTGGCCAGGTCACTCCTACCAATAGCATGGTCATCTTGTGGGCTGAGAGCTGGCTTACTTGCTTCTTTCCTCTTCTATTAGATACCAAATTCCAGAAGGCAGGCATTTGACATGCCCAGGGTGCAAAAAAGCTCTCCGTATGTGCTAAGAGCCCAGTAAATATGACTGGCAGGAGAAGAAGGGATGGCAGGAGAGGCCAGTGAGAGCAGGAAGATGCCCTCAGTGTTTGTTTTGGGAGGAGGGGGAAGCAAAGAGAGGCAAAGGATGGATAACGTGAAACATAAGCAGCAGTGTCTGAGCTTTCCCCCAAGGACCATGTCGCCTTTTTCTCTCTGGCAGGTGCAACCTGGCCCCCGTGCAGGAGTACGCCCGGGATGTGGGGCTCAAGACAGATCTGGTGACCATGAACCCTTCAGTCATCCAGCGGGCCTTTGAAGACCTGGTCAATGCCACATGGCGGGAGAAGCTGCTGCTGCGGCTGCACAGCCTCAATGGCAGCATTCTGTGGATCCCTGCGTTCATGGCCAGGGGTGGCAAGGAGCGCGTCGAGTGGGTCAACGAGCTCATCCTGAAGCACCGCGTCAACGTGCGTACTGCATACCCCTCTCTGCGCCTGCTGCACGCCGTCCGCGGGTAAGTGCCCCCTTTCGGGGGAAGGGGGCTGTCACCAGGTGAGAAGGTCCCCGGTAGGCAATATTCCTTTCCCAGGTGCCTTTCCATCCCGGCTCTACCATCACTAGTTGTATGACCTCTGTAAGTCACCTGATCTTTCTGAGCCTCCCTTTCTGGTGAGAAGAGAGGGGGTTGGCAAGTGGGTTTCATCTGGCACGGCAATTTTGGCAAACTGGTAGTGCCTGCCTGGGGACCTATGTTGAGAATAAACCATAAGGGAGCATGAATGGAAGTGGGACTATCTGCTGGAGGGCTGTTGCAATAGTCCAGGTAGGAAATACATCTGGCTTAGACTAGGACAGTGGTAGTGGATATGAAATAGTTTTGTCAGATTTGCTATAAAATTTGGAGTAAAGGCAGCAGGGTTGGCTGATAGATTCTATTGAAGAACCTCATGGGGTGAGAGACAGAGAAAAGCTCAGGGTGATGGTTAGGATTAGAGCTTGAGCAAATGGAGGGACAGTGGTGCCATTTTCTGTGATAAAAGCACCTAGGAAAAGCCCATGCATGTTTGAGATGTTGGGGGAGAGACTTCCTTCTTGGACAAGTTCCTTCTAGTAAGTTTTAGATTCCTGTTACAAATATACCCCGTCCACTCCTGACCTCCCAGGTTGGGGTCATACCCTGCAACCAATCTCCCATCCAACCACATGGCAGTTCATAGACCTGCTCCAGGACCATGAGAGACCATTCCACATCCTCCCCACTGACCAAGGGACACTGGCATGCTCTTTACTGGGGTCTTAGCATAATTCGGTGTGACCCTGGGGAGCCCACAAATGACTCTGGTCCTCATAAAGATGGCACTCAAGCCTGTGACCAGCCCTGGCCTCATTAAGGTAGGTATGCATATAGAAACCCATTGCCAGGAAGAAAGACCTAGAGATACATTCAATAAAAGGCAGCCACACCTGTGGCTGACGCAGGCCTCACCGAGGCCACACCCCTCATCCTGAGTTTGACCTGTCAGGACTCCCTTCAGCATCCTTTACTTCATCCCTGTCACAGAGTGGGGCTGCTGTGGTAACCCCCACCTCACAGATTTAGGAGTCATTCCTTAGATGTTTCTTCCTGGAAGGAGGAAACTGTACACAGTTTGGGGGTCAGAGGGGATAAGAGAAAGAGAAAGGCTGCCCTTTGATAAAGAGAGAAAAGGTCCCTTGATGGGGAATGGGCAGCCACCTGGAAGAAATGTATGCAGCCAGAGCTATTTCCAGCTATAATTGACTCACTTTTATCTGTCAAAATAGCATTAGGCACCAGTAACAAGCCCTTTAAACAAACAGGCTGTTAATCCTGAGATGGTAACATCTTCCTCTGAAGGAACTCCCCAGAGGAAATACTGCAGGATAGGCGGGTGGAGTGGGAGACTCTGCTTTTAGCAAGGGGAAGAGATGGGTTGGGGCCTTGGAATGGATTTCTGCCGATGGTCCTCTCCCTCTGTGGCGCCACTGGGACTTGTAGGGTGCAGGGTCCAGCAGGGCTTCAGAACTGAATAAAAATCTCTTTCGACAGGCTGACGCGATAAACTAATCGAAGAAGAAGCAAGTCAGTGTGGACAAATGCAAGGTCCGGTACTTAGGTTCTAAACAGTTGTACAGAAGGATAAGCAGTACCAAACAACAGTGGGTTCAGGGGGATATGTGATCTTAGATTGCAGCAATGGGCGTAGCACATCTTTGAGAGGCAGGGAGGTCAGCAATGGCCTTGATTTCCTCTCCCCAACAAAATCCCAGTTGGAGAATCATATTCAATGTTGGGTACCGGGCTAGAAAGGGACCATAGTGGCAGAGAAATTCAGAAGACGAAAGGTTTGAGGAGAGAAGAGATTCCAAGGAGCAAGAGAGCAATCTTTCTTCTTTCAGCAAATACTCACAGGTACCTAGAGGGCTCCAGGACTGTGTAAAAATCAATAAAACAAGGCCTCTACCCTTGAGGGGCTCACAGATTTAGCTGGTGAGGCTCCAGGTGGAGAACTAGGGCTGGGCGAGGATCCAGAGGGAGTCAGGTTTCATCTGGACACTGGAAAGACCCTTCCCACAAATAAAGATCATGTGAAATGAGCTTGGTTGCCTCTCAGGAAGTGCTGAATTCAGGCTCCTTGGGGATGTTCAGGCAGCAATGAGTGCCCCCCACTGGGCCGTGGAGAGGGAAACCCACACTAAGTTGCTGTATGAGTTTGGTAGGGCTGCTGGGACAGAGTACCACAGTCTGGCTGGCCTAAGCGATAGAAATCTGTTGTCTCAGTTCTGGAGGCTACAAGTCTGAAATCAAGGTGTCAGCAGGGCTGGTTCCTTCTGAGGCCCATCAGGGAAGACTGTTCAGGCTTCTCTCTTCAGCTTGTCCATGTTCATGTTCACATGGCCTTCTCCCCGTATGCACATCTTCTACAAATTTCCTATTTTTAAGGACTTCAGTCATACTGGATTAGGAGCCACCTTAATGACTTCATTTTAACTTGATTATCTCTGCAAAGACCCCTTCTCTTCAAATACGGTCACTTTCTGAGGTACTGGAGGTTATGACTTCAGCATAGGAATTTGGAGGGGACACAATTCATCCCCTAACGATTGGGCAAGCTGGCCGCCCTTCCCGCTCAGGTTCTTTGAGTCAGCGCACCTCTGCTGAGAGTCTGTAACCACCATGTTCTCTCAAGATTCTTGCCTATCTGAGACAATACAGGGCCTGGGCATTGTAGGGAGCTGGCAGTGTGGTACAGAGACCCTGAGCAGAAGGCCTGCCCTTCATCTCTGAGCACCCCCTGCCCCAGCCTGAGCAGCTCTTCCAGGCGCCTTCTGGCTCTGCACGCCTGCAGAGTGGCAGAGTGCCCTGGCTGGCTGTTGGCAAGGGCAGTGAGCAACCGAGGGGGAGGACACCCAGGCAACTGAGTGCGGCCACAGGGGGTGGGAAACTGGTCGGCAGCTGGCAGTGAATGGCTCTAATTCAATTACGATGACGGGCAAGGCTGTGACCCACAGAGAGGGCGGCCCTTGGGCAGGGAAGCAGGCCCATTCCGCCGCCCAGCCCACAGGCCTGGTGCAGAGGACGCCTGTGAATTGGCACTTAATTAGGCATTAGGAGTGCTGAGCCGAGGCTCCAGGATGGCACCGACCCAGCGGGCATCCCCACCAGGGCTGGAGGAATGGATCAGCAAAGCAGAGGATGGTAGAAACTGAGGGCCAGAGGGCAGGCCTGGGTGAGACAGTAACCGTAATGTGGAGACTAAGGGGAGAGGCCAGTGAGGGTCAGAGCCGTCCCTTCCCAGACATGCCCATCACAGTACAAAGAGCGTAGCCCTTGGACCAGTCACAGGAGCTGAGTCCCCATCTCCTCCAGTGGACACGGAGTGTGGAAGTGTGTTCCATGGAGAAGAAAAGGAAGGAAGGAAGTCTGTGGTATTGAGGCACAGATGGCTACTGGCATTTGGTCATTTTTTTATGGATTCTATTTTTCTTTTTTTTTACATAGCAATGCACATAGTAAAAAGAAAAATCCATGGAGTGTAATAAGAGGATTTAAAGCGAAAAGCGAGCCCTCCGCCTCAGAAGCAGCCTGTTAAACTGGTTTTCTGAGTGTCTCCTTCCAGAAAAATCCCCTTTTACGTATAAGGGGGCCTGTTTTAACCTCACCCCCACCCCCACCTTGCTAAATCCTGGAAATTATTCCATGTGGACAGCCACCACCTCGTTCTCCTTCACGGCTGCCTAGCTTCCCACTGCGTCTGGACTAGTTTAGTAAGCAGAAGCCACGGGGGGCATCGCGGGTGTTTCAATCTTTTGCTAGTATAACCAGGGCTACAGTAGCCGTCTTGTACTGACACCTGCACACATATGTACATCTATAGGCCTGCTTTGTAGAGGTGTCATTGTTAAAAACAGAGATGGATATATGCCTCGTTAACTTTTATAGATATTGCCAAGTTCCACTCCCACCTACAATTACTGAAAATGCCTAGTTTCCCATAATCTCCCCAGCATGGGGTTATTATCAACGTTTGTTATCTTTGCCTATCCAGTGGAAAATGGCCTCTGATTGTTGCTTGAAATTGGATTCCTTCAATTATGGATGAGGCTGAATATAATTTTTCAGTGGGGGGTGGCATGAAATTCCACAATGCAGCCAGGAGGCTTAAGCCCCCAAGGAATGGCCTTGCTGGGTCCCTGCAGGGCCTCTAGGGGCAGAGGTGATACCTGTGCATGAACAGCAGTCTTTCCACTCCCTGAGGGAACCAGCTCGAGCAACCAGCACCGTGGTTTTCTGGTTTCCTTCTGACAGCATGCCGTCTAGGATGCTGTTAGCCTGCCTCTCACATGTGCAGACCTGGCAGCTGCCTAGAAGGGTTTAGAGTGAGGCGGGCTCCTTCACCTCTCCTGTCAGCATCCCCAAAGGGAACCACGAGCCTCTGCTTGCTCGTTTTCATTCGCTGCTTCATGAAATACAGATTTGTGAAGCCGTACACATGAAGCCGTACACAGTTTGTGCCTGCGCTCTGCTAGGATCTGAAGTTACACAGAGGCCAATCTACTTGCTCAGAGAATTTTAAATTGTAAGGGAGGAGAAAGACTACAAGCAATAAACAAGCAATTACAGCGTAGCATGATAAGTGCTGTGATAGGGAAAGAACAACATACGAGACACAAGACCCTCCTGCATCGAAGCTGGGATCAGAAGAAGGGGTTGCCAGCCAGGAGACTTGGGAGGTAGTGGTGTCCTGGGAGAAAAGAAACCAGTAAGTTCCATGTGGCAGATTTCAGGCCCAGATCTTAAGGGCTTCCCGAGCCTGGCTGAGGCCACTGGGTGATATCTTGAGGACTCCAAGAGCCAAGGTTTTTGGTGGCGTGGTCAGACGGGGTTAGCAGGCTTGAGTGAGAGCATTGGCTTGGGTGAGCATGGAAGCCTGGGGACCAGGAACTGGCTTCGAGCATCCCCAGGGCTTGACCAGCTCTGCACTCCAACCCCAGCTCTCCGTTACCGCAAAGCTGGGCAGCCTCGGGCTGAGATGTCCCCCAGGATGACAAAGTCCTAAATGGTGCTCCCAAGGAGAGGACAGCAATGGGCCGTAGGGCCCCAGATCAGGAATGAGGCTGCTAATGTGGATGACAGGAGACCAAAAGCCAGAGAGAGTCCTGTTCCAGGTTTTGTTGCTGACCTGGCACAAAGTGTTACCAAGTGTCCCTTGACAACCACCTGGGGGGCATTCCTGCTTCTTAAGAATGAAATGAGCTATATCCCACCAAGTGCTTTTTTAGCTTCTTGGAGAAAGCCCTTTTGGTCTGTTTTTCCAACACTGGCAGCCACCATTCTTGCCACATACCGAGCCCAGGCATCCAGGGAGAAAGACGAATATGCTTTTGAGGTGATTTTGGCAATCCTCATTTATTGCTGTCCATGCTCATGAAATACAGTGCTTAATCGTCTTGGCAATTTGGGGTAACCAATTTGAAAAATAATTACTGCCTTCTTTGAGATGACTTTGCCGTCTAATTAAAATCTCAAGACTAGGATATTAAAGGTGTATTGTCAATACAGGGTCCCAGATGCAGCCAGCTAACCTCATTTAGGAAGGCAAAATTAATTAGTTAGCGTTTTCACACCCAGCTGTTCTCCTAAGGAAAGAGCCCGTCGACACGTCAGCCAGGCACACAGCCTCTAAATTGGCCAGAGCGACGGAGGAGATATAAAGGAAATCGAGAGTGATTTGTCCCTGCATAACTCAGTCAGCCTCTGTTGCAAGCTGCTCATTAAATGGTGCCCCCGTGTCCCTGTAAGACATCTCTCAGGAGTTCTTGTTTACCCATGGAGGCAGCATAGGAAATAAGTGAGTCCCTCCATGCCACTGAGCTCTCAATTCGTTCTGGAGCCTCATTTGCCGCTAACACCTTTCCCAGTGAGTGACTCTGGGTGAAAAGCCTGGCGTCAGATCTGAGAGTCTGGGCGTTTCTATTCCTGTCCCAGCCGGCCACTGTTACTAAGCTGCGTGCACTGCTCGCTTCCTCCTTTCTCCTTTTCTACTTCTTCCCATTTTTCAATTCCATGTGAGTCCAACATTTGCTGAGCTCAATAGAAGTCAGGATAATCAATTCGAGGCTCTACTACAATAACAAACCCCAGAACCCTTGTGGTTTAGCACAACGGAAGCTCATTTCTCGTTCTTGCAAAGTAATGAAGGTTGGCAGGGGCTTTCTTTAACCAGTGATTCAGGGATTGAGGACTCTTCCATCTTAGGCTGACGCTATTTTCACAGGAGGCTTTGAAGTTCGCCAAGGCAGGGGGAGAGGAAGCGGGAAGACCTGCCCTTGAGCAACGTCAGCTCAGAAGGGACTCGGTTCCTGTCAAAGCCTATTGGCCAGAAATGGTCACATGACCCCAGCCCCATGACAAGGGATGCTGGGAGATGCAGGAGAGCATATGGAGTGTTTGTTGAATGCTTATCTCTGCCGTAGTGCTTTGGCTGCACCAGGCACTGCGCCAGGTGCCTTTGAACTCCCTACATATAGCATAAGGCATGGCCCCTGCACTTGGGGAGATCACAGTACAGTTTCATATGGGAGACCAACCCACACAGTAAGGGACTGTCATCCCAGATTGATAAGCGCAGTGGGAGAAGTTGAAACAAAGCTCATGATAATAAGGTAGAAGTGATTAAGTCAGTTTAAGTCAGTGGAACAAAGAGAACATTTCTAGGAAGACATGATGCATATACTTAATTTTGGAGGGAAGAAAAAGAGAGTTCACCAAGAGGACGCATGGGGGAAAGGCACATCTTTGGGGAGGACACAGCACGTGTCTGTGTAACCTCAGACCCACCTATGAGCTCCCTGGATGTTTCACTGTTGATTCAATTCTTCCCTCCCCCTCATAGCCGGCAAAGAAATTCATTTCTGAAAGTCTTCCCCTGCTAATGCCTCACTATCAGAAAACAAACAAACCACATATCCCTAATATGGCATGTGGCCGGTGTTAGGGCTTGAACTGGCTCAGTGACCAGTCAGTGAGATGCAACCATGCAGGGGCACTGCCAGTGGCTCGCGTGTCCCTGGATGGTGTCAACAGCGGCTGCAGCTAGCTCCCTCCCAGCTCCGATTCTCCCAGAATCACCACGGGGTAAAAAAGATCCAAGAATCAGACACGGAGAGGCTGCATTTCATCCAAACACTATCTAACCAGCTGCCTGAGACCTTTGTCCCCTCTCAGGCAAGTCACCCTGGACTCCCACGTCCTCCTCTGTTATCTGAAAGAGAACAAATTCAACCCAGGAGACCCATGGGTGACCGACCCACAGGCATGGTCTGTTTGACTCACCCAACAGGGCTTCACACGGTATTTTTTTAGAATTTTTAAAATTTAGTTGCCAACATTTAAAAATTTGGAGCATTTGCATTAAGCATCCAGATTTCTGACACTCTTGAAAAGAATCAGAAACTCTGACACCACCTTACCGGACAACAATAAAACTGGCCACCCCTCTACATGCTGCAGTCCCCACCACTCCCCATTGTCTTGGCAGCACTGAGGCTGGGTGTCATCTTCCTTACACGCGTCCCAACTGCCAGCTCACTCAGTTACACCCGGGCCAGGCCGCTGAGCTACATGAGCTCTCCAGGCCCAGTTATCCTCAAAACTCTATGACTAGTCTGTATGCTTACTAGCTTTCCCGCTTTTTATCTAAATATGTCTCCTTCGTTTGGCAGAACCACCTACCAGTGAGAGCAAGCGTTCATAGGCTTGGCTGAATATTTGAATCACTGGGGGAGGTTTTTAAAATCCATGTGCAGGCTGCCCCTGGAGGTGGGACCCAGGCATCAGTCCTCTTAAAGCTCCAGGCAATTTCAGTGTGCAGCCCAGGTTGACAACCCCTGAGTTAGTGCTGAATATGCAATGGCCCCGCTCGGGAGGGGGTGAGCTCCCCATCATTGGAAGTAGTTAAGCCACAGTGGATGAGCACTTTGCCAGGATGTGTGGGAGGATCCTAACAGTGGCTGCTGCTCTCTGGGACC